ATAAGAGCTGTGCTGGAATTCAGAAGGCTGGGCTCTAGTTCTGGCTCTGCTGTGAACTAACTGTGTGAATTATGAAAAGTCCATTTTCTTTTTGAGCCTCAATGGTCTACTCTGAAAAATGAACTTACACAAGGACTAAATATGTTCCTACTCTCTTTAACCTATGCTTTAGGAGTTCTCAAAAGGAAATCAGGGAGCCTTTAGTAGATTCGTATTCAAAAAATAAAAACATATCATCCTAGAAACAGGTCCTATCCTTCTTTCCTGCTGGAAGATGATGTCTCCCAAACCTATTTATGTTATAGCTATTTATTAGTCACCTACAAGACACCAGCTGCTTTACATGATTGATTTGGGCATGCATCATGCTACAAGAGAAATATTGTTAACCCCATTTTCGGGTAAGGAACCTGAGTTTCAGGAGTAACCAGGTAATTTCTCAAAAGCCCCAGAACAAGCTAGTCATAGAGCCATAATTTAAAGTAAGTCTCATTGACTTCAGACCTCATGCTCTTTCCTAGTACGCTTCTCTCAAACATAAACAACTCCAGCTGATGAGTCCTTGCTTACTAGGAGACACAGTAAGCATGGTCCAAGCTCTCTATTAGTGAAATGCAGATGGATTTGCACAAATTGCTCCATACTTTTCTCACCTGCTTGTGTCTCAGTTTCCTCATATGTCATAATGGAACAGTAAGATTTCTCCTACCAACCTCACAGAAATGTTAGGAGAGATAAGTTAGATGATGAAAAATCGCAGTAAAATGAATATCTTTTTTAACCAAGCACACCAGAAGCCACAAAGAACATTTCAATGATGATAGTACCATTGCTAAAAGTAAAATTTTTTTTAAACTTAATGCTTCTTTGAGAAATACTCCCAGCGGCACTTTAGCAAGATGCACCTGAAATTTTAATCTTATTATTTTGAATTCATATATTGTGCTTAACACACATTAACTCTCCACTACATTTACTAAGCTTGGTTCTTTTCTAAGCCAGAGTAAAATGTACCTAAAAAGACAAATGTTTGTTTCACTAAGCATTATAAAAATAATATGCTATGATTCTGAGGGCAACTCCCAGAGTCAGAAATGTTGGGGACAATGGCAGCTTTATTGGACTAAGCATACAGTTTTGCAAGAAACAATGATCACAGGATGAGAACATGTAGTTGTATATATAGGAAAAAGTAGATAAAATTCCTCCTATTATCACCACAGCTTTAATGAACAGTGCTTTGGGTAGTATGAAGCACTGCGGAAATGCATGGAACTATTATTAGTTCTACTCTAACCTGCAGCACCTGATCTAACCTGCAGCAGAACTTCTTCTTCCTCCGGGTGGCTCCTGTAATGCTCTGCAAAAGATCACTCATGTTTGGAGGCATTTAAAGGCAGAAATGCCTGAATTCTCACTGACCACACAGTCATTTCTAGGTGCTGCTACCAGTGAGAGTTGGCTCAGCTTTGGGGAATCTCTTTGCAGAGTCCCCGGAATGGGAGAGACCATGACTGCCAACAGTACTGTGGCCATTGTCCTGAGCTCAGTTTACCCCTTTGTGCACTTGCCTTCCAGGTACATGACTCCAGCATCCGGCTCAGTCCTAGAACAAGTGCTCTCCATGCAGTACAGTGTGGTGACCCCTCTGTTAAACCCCTTCATCTACAGTCTGAAGAACCAGGAGGTGAAGGCAGCTCTGAGGAGGATGCTGGCCAGGAAGCCCAGGCTGGCCATCTAACCCAGGCTCCACTGCCTCACCGGGAAGAAAAGTTAAAGGAAAGAAGAGGAGGCAAGAAGAGCTGTCACCACTCAGCTATCTCAGGATTCACTCTTTTCCAAAGCAGAAGCCTTAGTCTTTCTCACCACAGTGCCCTCCCCCAATCAAGCGAGAGGCAGAAACTTCCACTGACCAGATGACACCCATCCACAGGGGCCCAGTCACCACACAAGAAAATCCTCACAGCTTCACTGGTCATTTCTACAGCTATTGCTCTTCCCTCTCATTTCTTGTTCTTTCTACCCCTCTCCTTTCTGCCTCTCCCTCACTCTTTCACTTTTGTCTATGCACGAAGTGTAAGTCAGCCTGCCTGGCCACTAGCAATATCCCACTGTGTTATGGGAGAGCCCCGTCTTGGTACTATGAGACCAAGTTTCTCCTTTGTTCCCTTCCCCAAAAATTGCTGGCAAGATCTACAGCTCCATAATAACTTAGAAAGAAATAATAAAATAAAATAAAATAAAATAAAATAAAATAAAATAAAATAAAATAAAATAATAAAATAAAATAAAATAATAAAATAAAATAATAAAATAAAATAAATACATCTCCTCCTGTCTTTTTTTTTCTTAACAAGTGACATCTGAAGTAAAGCCTAGCAAATAACAAAGCCTCAATAACTACTTGTTGACAAATTAAGGAATGAATGATGGGTCCACCTGAAGAGTCATTTCTCTTAGATGATCCTGGAAAATGGGAGAAAGTGAATCTCCTCAACGTGTAAGTCTTGAGAGCAAAGCCCCAGTCTAAGAGCTTCTGAATCCCCAGTGTCTAGAATAGTCCTGCCATCTAACAGATTTGCAATTAGTGTTTCATAGTGGAAAAAAAAAATAAAATGAATGAATGAATGAAAGAGAAGGGGGAGTGAGAGAAGGAACATTTAACTTTATCCCGTAAAATTCCTGCATTCACAATATAGATGTCAGAGGCAAGTAGCAGGGAGGAAAAATGAGGATAGAAAGAGAGAAAAAGAATCCATATTTTGGGGCACTGTCCTGGGTCCTCCTCACACAGAGCTCAATGGTGGGCACCCTGAGCCTCCCCACAGCCCACCATAGCCTGGACCACTTCAGCTCCCTGTCTGGTTCAAGACGCCCCAGGCCTAGAGGAATGAGAAGGAGATGGAGAGAACAGAACAAATGCTCAGCTGCCATCCCACCTCCCATTCAGCTCCCAAGAAAGTTCTCAGGAAGAGAATAGCAGCTTCCATCCTGTTTCTACCTGAAGCCCAAGACCTCTGCTATCAGTCAAGACTACCTCCACGCCAGCTCCTGGTTTATCTCTGTTCTTGATCCTCTGACCCCCAGGCTAAGATCCTCCCTAAAAATAAATTTATTGTCAGTCTCTTTCAGCAAAGGCCTCCAAAGATTATGGCTTCATATATGATATACTCACAGGTGAAATTTCCTGATTTCTGTAGGATGAGGGCCAGGGCTACGGTGCTGAGCCAAACAGCCTCAACTTTAGTTGCATTTCTGTTCTGGCCACTTGATGGAGCTGGTCCCTTCTATTTCCCAGAGCATATGGCTCCCTGAGGGTGTAACTGAGGCAGGGTAATAAGGAAGAAGTAGATGTGTGAGCTAAATGGGAGGAATGGATATCCAAGTCTGCCCTCACCATACACCTATACACAGGGTTACTTCTAAAACCCTGTAGACTTGGGGGAAAGCTTTTTGTCCCATAATTAAAGGGGAATAGCATGCAACACCCCTGGAAGATGCAGCACATTGTGTTCAAACTCACACAAAAATATGATGAATATCAAGTTATTTCCTGGGAGTTTGTTTTCATTAAGTACAGAAGAGGGATGGTCTCTCCGCCCCTTACCTGGCCCTATAGGTCCCTAAACAGGCCATGGACACCTCTTTTGGAAGCTGCTAGTCTCTGAGACAAGGAAGGTCAGGTTGCCTAAAGCTCCAGCTGGTATGGGGGGGGGGGCAGTATAATTAGCTATATTAGACATCTTAGGAAAGCAGGAAAAAGAAGAAGACAGGAATTAGAAGATAGCTAATTCAGAAATGTGGTAAATTAAATTGAAGTTTTGGAATGCTGGGTTGTCAAAGCAGGAAGAGATCTCCGAGAAACCACCTAGATCAAGACCCTCATTTCAAGAAGAGGAAATTGAGGTACAGAAGGCGGAGATGACCTGCCAAGATTTGAACCATCAGTGAGTAGCAGAAACAGATGTTAGGACTCAAATCTCCTGATTTTCCTTCTTTCACATTTCTCATAGTCATTAGAATAAATAAAATTGTATGAAAACCCTTCTTAAAAACAAGTGGAGCAGCAAGGAGGAGTAATGGAAAGTAAGTGTCCAGATCCTTCTGCTACTGAGCTGACTGTAAGGGTCCTCTGTTCTTACCTCTGGTTTCCAGAGAGAGTTCCTCTCACAGCTCTTTGCGAAGAGGATTTCCTTATCTAAAAGGTTTTAAAAAATCCCTCACACTCCTCTAGTCACCCACTTCAGATTCTTGGAGCCCCTGTCCTTGCTGTCTTTTCCCACCCCACATCTCCACCTATCAAAATTCCACCCACACTTCAAAGCCAGCTCAAGTGCTACTCTTTTCATGAATCCTTCCTGATCCCTTTTCCCACACACATCCCCAAATGTAAATTATCTTTCCTCTTAGGAATGCTCAGGGCACATTTCTAACCTCTCCCATAATGTTTATGATACTATTCCTTATATATAATCATTTATTCATGTTTATCTCATCTCTCTTACTAGTCCTTTTAGCCAATTTTGGATCCCCTCTATATTTCCTTGAATATGCTAGGTGATCCACAAAAGTTTATTGACTGAATTGGTACAGAAAGTAAATCCATCTTTCTGTTATAAGTTCAGACTATTTCCTCTTCAGTAGAGCTGGAAGGTGGCTATGACCTATTGCTTCAGTGTCCACTGCTCACCCTATTTCTTTCCTCTCCCACCAGAAAGAAAATACAACCAGCCACTCAAAATCAGGCCCTTTATTTGGGACAGAGGTAGAATACATTGTTGTAGTGAAAGTGCCACCAGGGGCACTGAGCATGAGACAAAAGTCCAGTGCACCAGTCAAGCACACCTGGAGAATTGTCCTCAAGTGTCCAGTGGTGTTATTGCAGGGCCCAGGTCTCAAAGAAAAATTAGCTTCAAAGGAGTAGAAAGACCCAAACTGAGGTATCTGGGGAAGAGGAGTTCCAGGAGCAGAATAAGAACAGAAGCAAGGACAGCCGGTGCTCACCACCTCTCACAGAGCCACTGTTCCAGCTTCTCAGAGCAGAGTGGTTTATGGGGCAACCTGGTAATGGAAAGGAAACAGGGCAAGTTGGCTGACTGGATCTTAGCTCAAACTTCCATCTAGCTTTATCCCCAGGAGAGTTGAGGTGGAACAGTATGGATGAAAATTACAGAAAGACCTTCCTAACAAGGTTGGCCACCTAGTGGAATAGGGTACAGTTTTAAAACTCAATAAATAAATAAATAAATAAATAAATAAATAAATAAATAAATAAAAATATAGGGCTAGAAAAGATATACAGTGGTACTAAGGGTTCACTTTAGGGCCTAGGGCTATAGAAGTAGAAGTAGATGTCCAAGTCTAGCTGAAAGAAGGCTGAGTCTCAGCCTTCTATTAGGGACCTCATATTAGGACAATTGCCAAACAGCAGTGGAGTGACAGAGGCTTAAAATGTGGAAACCTGAGTCTGCTCAAAGAGTATTGCTTTGGAGACTATATTCTAGATTAAATGACCAGAGGATAGAGAGGAGGGGAGTGGTGCTGGAGCTAAAGAGGTGAGAAGGAAGGGAAGGGAAAAGTAGAAAATAGAAAGGGGATTCACCAGTAGTCAATTCCTTCACTATCCAGGATCTTCTTGGCACACATCATGTCATCAGTAAGGTCATCATCCAAGAACTCTGGCAGTAGTTAGAGGGAACAAAATGATAGGGCTAAGTGTTACCCAGAAAGGTAATGAGTTTTTCTTTTCCCTGGATCTAGTAGGTCTGGTCCTTCTCTGGAGGCGTATGCCTGTTGTCTTTCTATATAAGAAAGCCAACATAGTGATGCCTCTCCGTAGGTGAGGGGCAAGCCTGGAGGAATTATCAACCTCATCAAGACTCCCAAACAGATCATCCACCTGTGGACTTCAGGGGACTGTTTGGGGATTTGGTGATCATGAAAAATTCTAGCAGCCTCTTACTCAGTACTCTCAAGTCCCACCGATGTGAACCCGGAGATTATCCCAGGGATAGGCTCCAGAAAAGCAAAGAAACAGGGTAAAAGGGCTACTCACTATCACAGGAGATGCCACAGATGTTCCTTGAATGAGGTATCTGGTTGTCCCTGCACCAAAGCTTATTATTGATCTGAAAGAGTCCATATTCTGTTCTGCCATTGTTTTTGACTACAGTTTCCGTGTCGTAACCACTGATATGGAATACATTACAGATCCCTGGGGAAGAGGGAGAAAGGTATCACAGAGATGTCCAGGCACAGCATAAATGAGGACTTGTATTCCTAGAGAGAAAATGGCTCTCCAGCAAGTCTCTAAATATGGCAAAGCAACAAAGTATCTTGATGAGATAGAAAGAAGAGTTCCAAAAAGGTCAGAAAATGAGAGAAAAAAAATATAGGAGAATAAAGGTATTAAGAGTAAACAGATTTTAAAAAGAGGGTTATTAAATAATTGAATGAAAGTGAAGATGATGGGGAGGGGAAGGAGAGTGGAGGAGAGAAGCAGATGGAGAATGGGATGAAACAATGCAGCAGAAAACTCACATTCAGGTAAAGAGACGCCTCCATAGCCATCCATGTCTTTCAGCACCTGGGACAGCTCACATTTCGTAAACTGCTTGGCCTGGAGGGCCGGGAACAGAATGCCCATCAGGAGCAAAGAGACGAAGGACATCATATTGCCTTCCCCCAAGAACCTGAAATAGATGAACCACTCAGCTTCACCTCCTTTTATTCATGGAGAAAGCCCCAGGAACCCTGGCACCAAGCCCTACTTCTAGGAAAAGTATGAAGAAAAACTGGTTGTGCCACAAGGAAACACTGAGCCTGCCAACTTCCCTCCGTAATTTCACCCCACTTTTCCTTCCCCTTTCCTAATCTCTAGCCTATACCGGGTATTGTTTGTTCTCTGTCCAGAGAGAGTTCCAAGCATGATCCTGTTTCCCATTTGGCTTTATTTATACCTTTGTCTCTCATACGGTTGGTTCTAGGAAGGAAGATGTCCCCAGCCAACTTCAGGAACAAAGGAGACCTTGGGGATATTATGAGTGAGGAAATCAGAACATACAATAAAAGTACATGGTCAACTCCCCTTTCCCCTTCAGACATACAGAGTATGTAAAAGGGTTGTATGTCATTACATGCCATGGTCCCAGGATTAGAACTGGCACTTGTCCAGTCAGCCCAGGCACAGTACAAAGCTCAAGAAGAGTCCCTTGATATGGTGGTTCATGGCTGAGGGAGCGGAAATAGCTATAGAATACGGCAACACAGACTTTGAGAATCAGATATAACTTGGGTCCAGAGACTTCCTACTTCAGGAAAACAGAGAACTAGAAAAGTGTGTATAACAGTATGCATTTGGCTATCCTATGAACTACTATCAGGCTCCCACCCCCAAACCTCAAACCTGATTATTCAATGGCATTAATTAAGACATTATGTAAATCCAAGACTAATAACTTGTAACAAATTTGTTCATGGGTATAAGAAACTTGTAGACACCCTCAGAGTTGGTGCCTGTAGATTAAAAATAGAGTGACCCAAGCCAATGGAAAGACTGGACTTAAAGCACTTTAGGATTAGACTGGGATATATATGGAACCTATAAAACAAGATTCTAGATCTGAGTTTTAAGATCAGTGCCCCTGAGCAAGTGGAGTTGAGGACACTAGGTCTGAATAATTCCTTCAGTTTGTTGGCATCAAGCATCTTGTCATGGCACCAATAGCTGTTAGCCTCCATGCCAAGGCTCATCCTCTAAACATGATTTCTTCTATTTCAAGGGGGTATCCATCCCAACTAAACTATATAAGGCTTCCAAACTGAAGGCATTGAAAACTGTTATATCCTACAACTCTTCAGAATCAGGGCAAACTCCTCTCGGTTTTATCCTGTCTTCTCCACCATGGGTAACCAGTATATGAGGTAGCATGAGTGAAACAAGTGTGGAGGACCTTAGAGTGCCAAGAGAAATGAACAGAAAGTCCTGATAGCAAAGAGATACATTTTCAGAAACACAGAAAAAGTGCTGCCACTATATTTCTCCTCCATTCCACCCAGAGGCTTTGGAGAGGTGCATGAAGGATAGGAATGGGAATTCTATTACACTAAGCTGGTATGGTTGAGAATATGACTGGGAATGAGAGGATGATCTTAAACCATGTGTGAGAGGGACAAATTTAAAAAGCTAGCCCAGAGGACTAGTCTTTCCAATAGTGGAGTCTAGTGTAAAATGCCTTTTGTCCTGGGTTATGAACAAAGTACCTGTGACAGAATAAAATAGTAGGTCAGGGTATCAGGAATCACAGGGACTTTCTACACTTCCAGCCAAGTCAAGACTTACGGCAATAGCCTGCTCGCCTATAATTTGACTGTTCCTCTGCCCTTCCCTGTAGGCAATNTGGCAATAGCCTGCTCGCCTATAATTTGATTGCTCCTCTGCCCTTCCCTGTAAGCAATAAAAAGCAGTATTCAGATCAGAAATCACAGCCAAGTGCAGTAAAGAAAAAAAATGTGCCTCAGACAAGAGGAACAATTATTTTTCTAGATATGTTTGTAAAGTAGTGTATCTGGGGTTCATCTGAAAAATGTCTAGTGGGAACAGTTACAAGCATTCAGGGAAAGATGCCGATTCTTGGAAATAGACCAAAGAAGAAGAGCAAACAATGATCNAGAAAGATACCGATTCTTGGAAATAGACCAAAGAAGAAGAGTGAACAATGATTGTAGCACTGGAAGAGAGGGTGTATGGAAAGACGTGCCACACAGCTCATGGAGAAAAGCTCCTGCTAAAATCTACCTTTCCAGAGAGGCTTAGTTAGGGTGCTCTGCTTACACCTGAGATCTGAATCAAGGCAGTGAAGAGGCATTTACAACAAACAAGATTTTTCAGAAATATACTAGGAAGTTATGTTTGTCCTCTCAGATGCTATGGTAAAAACCAGGGTTTCTCAAACCAGTCCTTTGCGGGGAGGCTTCTACAGATTAAGGAATCAGAAGTATCTGTTTCAAAACATATTTGGCGGTAGCCATCCAAAACTATAGTATGTAGGTGAGCAGTAGTTTATAAACAGAGCCCAGGGCAACCATTTGGAAGGATGCCCTAAGGGCCACAATAATATTGACCTTTACTTCTTATAGTTAATATCCTCACCTTGTTCTACTTCCTCCCATAATTCAGGCAAACTATCACTAGATGAATAAAGCTAGATCTTGAACTTGAAATCCAAATTTCAGACAAATTCTTAATGAAATTAGAGAGGTATTTAAAGCAAATAAAATTTGGAGAGGGGATGCTCTCTATTGGCACTTTCTGATTTGGTTGCTTATATAAATATCCTTGCAAAGTCATTTAGCACTACTGATTCACACTCTATATCTACACCAAAGGTCTGCTCTCGATTTATATAGAATTATTTAAAGTTGTTGTATTGCTACTTCTATAACTGCTTTTATGCTTATATGAACCATTGATTTATTTTTTGAATTGAGACTACTATCAAGAAAAAATGAAAATATACAAATGTAAATCAAAACACAAATTATTTTAAAATGCTAACTAAAATGAACTTTACCTCTTCATTTAATATTAGCTAAAACAAATTGATATGTATATAATTACAAAAATGCAATATCTATGCAAATCCTATTAAGATTTTTCATTCTTAATTTATAAAAGGTCTAATTTTAAAGAAATATATATTTATATAACTGTATATCAACACCTTCGATAGAATCTTACATTCTGCTTTTTGTTAATGTGGTACTTGTTCTTTCCTTTTTGGGCTGGCTTTTCTCTCCCCTCATTTCTTCCCTGCCACACATTGTCCCATTAATGTATATTAACAGACTACCATACACCCATCCATATTTTTATCAATTATTGTGTGTATATGTGTGATAAGAACATTTAAGATCTACTCTCATAGCAGAATATAATACAGTATTGTTAATTATAGTCACATTGCTGTACATTAGGTTCCCAGAATTTATTTATCTTATAACTGGAAGCCTGTACCTTTAACCAACATCTCTCCATTTCCCCCACACCCAGCCCCTGGCAACTGCCATTCAACTCTTTGTTTCCATGAGTTGGATGTTTTCAATTTCACATGAGTGAGATCAGACAGTAATTGCCTTTGTCTGACTTATTTCACTTAGCAAAATGACCTTAAGGTCTATCCATGTTGTTGCAAATGGCAGGGTTTCCTTCTTTATTAAGGTTAAATTATATATATGTTTATATATGTGTGTGTGTCACATTTTCTTTACCCATTCATCCATTGACAGACACATGTTATTTCCATATCTTGGCTATTGCGAATAATGTTGCAATGAACAAGGAGACTCAGATTTTTCTTCAAGATTATGATTTCATTTTCTTCAAATGTATATCTAGTAGTGAGATTGCTAGATCATATAGTATGTCTATTTTTAATTTTTTGAGGAATCTTCGTACTATTTTCCATAGTGGCTATACCAATTTACACTTCTACCAATAGTGCTTAAGGGTTCCCTTTTCTCCACTTCACCGACACTTGTTATCTCTTGTGTTTTTGATAACAGCCATTCTAACAGATGTGTGTGATATCTCACTGTGGTTTTGACTTGCATCTCCCTGATGATTAGTGATGCTGAACACCTTTTCATGTACCTGTCGATCATTAGTGTGCCTTCTTTGGGGAAATGCCTCTTCAGGTCCTCTGCTCACTTTTCAATCAGATTATTTTATTGGGTTTGCTCTTTGGGGGGATTTTGTTTTGTTTTGTTATTTAGTTGTAATGAGTCCCTTTTATATTTTTTATATTAACCTTATCAGTATACAACTTGCTAATGTTTTCTTTCATTTTATTGCTTTTCCATTTTGTTTATTGTTTCTTTTGCTGTGCAGAAGCTTTTTTGTTTGATATAAATTCACGTGTTTATTTTTGCTTTTGGTGCTTGTGCTCTTGGTGTCATATCCAAAAAATCATTTTCAAGGCCAAAGTCCAGGAAGTTTTCCCCCTGTTTTGTTCTATCAGTTTTAATGTTTCAGGTCTTACATTTATATCATTAATCCTTTTTAAGTTAATACTCGTGACTGGTCTAAGATAGGAGTCCAATTCACATTTTTTTGCATACAAATATTTTATTTTCTTAATGCCATTTATTGAAGAGGTGATCCTTTTCCCATTGAGTATTACTCCCTTATCAAAGATTAGTTGACTGTATATGCATAGGTTTATACCTGGGTTCTCTGTTATGTTCCATTTGTTTATGTGTCTCTTTTATGCCAGTGCTATGCTGTTTTGATTACTATAGCTTTGTAATATAGTTTGAAATAAAAAAAATTGTAATGCCTCCAGATTTGTTCTTTCTCAGGATTTCTTTGTCTATTTGGGATATTTTGTTGTTCCATACAAATTTTAGCATTATTTTTTTCTATTTCTGTGAAAAATGCCATTGGACTATTGATAGAGATTGCATTGAATCTGTAGATGACTTTGTGTAGTATGGATATTTTAACAATATCAGTTCTTACAATACAAGAACACAGGATATCTTTCCATTTATTTGTGTCCTCTTCAATGTCTTTCATCAATGTCTTACAATTTTAAGTGTGCAGGTCTTTCAACCTTTTGGTTAAATTAATTTCTGAGTATTTTATTGTTTTTGATGCTATTGTAAATGGGATGGTTTTCTTATTCCTTTTCAGG